TCAGTCCAACACGAAGTGAGTTGATAACGAAAAAAAGACGTAGAATGACAATGTTAATAGAGCTATCTTGTTTTTCAAAGATTTGAATACTTCCTAATCACAATGTGAAGATTTTCTCCAATACTGAACTCAACAACATGATGGGGGTAACGAAAAAAAGAAAAGAGAAATATCGACTTCCATGTGTTGTATCTCTCTACAGATTATTATTGTAACAGACAAGATTAGGGTAACACATGTAATGAATATTGCTAATTTCATTAATTACATTTGCTCAACACACATGTTGTTATTGATATAAGACAAGCATTGAAAGATTTTCATAATCTAATAATATCTAATTAACGTTAGATTTCAATTAAAAAAATAATCATGTGAAATAAAGAGATTTTAGTATGTTTCATTTCATTTATATATTTAGACAACAAAAATCAAAGTAGTTCAAAAAAAGAAATCAATATTTCTTCTATTTTTCATATCTAGTAGGTCCAGCCAATTTCTCCCTTCTTTTCAAGGCAGACAAAAAATTGGGCTCATGGCAACTAGGTTGTTGTCATGCCCAACCCGAATTGCAGTTGGGTTTTTAATTGGATTGGGAATGGCTCTGCACGCGACGTCGTTTACTTTAGTAAGGGGCTTAATTATGTCACAGACTAATTTTTCTCAAGTTAAAACCGTGTGGTACTAGCACTAAAACCTTGAACGATTCAAGTGCTAGCTTAGCCTAGACCCTCAAAACGTGCAAAAGTTATGAAGAAAGAATGGAGGTTGAAAGAAAGATTGGAAAGCTAAGAACAAAAGACATTGGAGATTTTTAGGAAAGCTTGAGAAACCCTTTTCTCAAACATGGGGAATGATTACAAATGAAGGTGTTGGGGATATTTATAGACTTACTCCCCAAGCATGAACACTAAAAAAAGATTACAAATTTAAAGTTTTCCCTACAAGTTGTCATGCAAGTTACTTGCCTAAAAGATTCCACAACTAGCTAACAAGTTGCCAAGTTGGCCACTTGTATCCCAAGTTGGCAAGTTGTACCAAGTTATCTCCAAGTTGTCTCCAAGTTACCAAGTTGTGCAATATGAAAACTTACAAGACTAGAAGATTCCATGCAACCTAGAAGTCTCCACACACTCTAGGTCATTCACGAGATTTATGAATATTGGGCTTGATCTTGGGTTTGTGCCATTTTGGGCCTAAGAAAAAATTGGTCCATGACACCCTCCCCCACATGAATGGGGCATCGTTCCTGATGCCCTGTGTCCTAACTCATCATCTTCACGGAAGCTTCGAGCTATGGCGACGAGTTTATTACGAGATGGATAGTCATGAATCAAATGAGATCCTCCAAATAGAAAGCATCCCTCAAATTTTCTTCAAATGATTTCGGATATGACATCATGTCGTTTTCTCCACCTGTATCATTGATAAGTTTCTTACTTGTGCCTTTATGGCTATCATTGCTCTGAAACTCCATAAGATATTCTGCGACTCGTATAGCTTGCTGAACATCTCAAACATCCCTACGTTGTAACTCTGGCTTAGCCCAACAATTAAGGCCGTCCATAAATATAAACAAAGCTTCTTTAGGTGAGAGATCAGGAATTTCAAGCATAAGATCAGAGAACTCCTGCACATATTCCTTGATGTGGCCCTCCTTGTGGTGTAAGTGACGAAGTTTAACTCGAGCTTCGTTTTCAGCATCAGCCGGAAGGAATTGTTTCTTAAATTCCTCCTTAAATCTTTCCCAAGTTGTGAAGATAGGTGCTTCTTGGCCTATTGGTTTCATCATACGTTTCCACCAGGATAGAGCACTATCTTTTAAATAACAAGAGGCTTGATAAAGTCTTACCGAATTATCTGTCAAGCCCAAAACGCCAAACCTCTCAAGTCTGTAGAGAAAATTCTCTACATCCCTTGCCTTGCGGCTACCAGCATAAACATCTGGTTTTGGTGCATCCACCATTGGAGCTGGCCCTCAAACTCCGGTCATCCCTTGAGCACATAGAGGATCCACTCGTACCTTGAGTTGCTCCGTTTGCGCCCGATAAGTCTCAAACTCACCCATGAGTTTGAGCACATCACCTTGGAGCATTGTGGCTTTGGCTGCATTTTTCTCGCAAACCTTAGTGACCCTCTCAAAGACCTTGTTGAGTGCTCCAAACATCTCTTCACGCATTTGTTGCTTGATTTCTTGTAATTCACCCTTGAATTGCTCCATGCATTCTTTAGAGATAATTTCCACCGTGGAAAAATGCTCTTCTCAACGATGATGATGGTCGGTCACGGCCGACTCCACATTGGCAAGGCGTTTCTCAAAGTCGACCACAGGCTCGCGAGTAACGGACTTCTCCTTGTGGGATCCCCATCGAGAATAATTCCTCTCTACCTCGCGAGAGGTGTGATCCCCCTCAAGTTCCAACACTTAAACAACCTCCGAAGGGTTAGACATAGCTTATGCACGAAATGAACCAACAAACGGAAGCGTAGAATGATATATCACACCAAGTATCGAGCGGAGCCTTTGATACCAACTGTCATGGGGCTAACTTTCTCAACTTAAAACCGTGCGGCACTAGCAGTCCAACCTTGAAAAATTCAAGTGCTAGCTCATCCTAGACCCTCAAAACGTGCAAAAGTTATAAAGAAAGAATGGAAGTTGAAAGAAAGATCGGAAAGCTAAGAACAAGAAGGCATTGGAGATTTTTAGGAAAGCTTGAGAAACCCTTTTCTCAAACATGGGGGATAATTACAAACGAAGGTGCTGGGGATATTTATAGTTACTCCCTAAGTATGAACACTAATAAAATATTACAAATCTAGAATTTTCCCTACAAGTTGCCATGCACGGTTCTTGCCAAAAAGATTCCACAACTAGCTAACAAGTTGCCAAGTCGGCCACTTGTATCCTAAGTTGGCAAGTTGTACCAAGTTATCTCCAAGTTGTCTCCAAGTTACCAAGTTGTGCAAGTTGACAACTTACAAAACTAGAAGATTTCATGCAATCTAGAAGTCTCCACACACTCTAGGTCATTCAGCAGATTTCTGGATATTGGACTTGAGTTTGGGTTTGGGCCATTTTGGACCAAAGAAAAATTTGGGCCATGACAATTGTAATTGGCCGCATTAAATGTTACCATGCATGCAAAGCCAGGGACCTGTTACACAATTATTTTTATTTTATGATTTTTCTCTATAAATAGTGGAATTATTTAATAGTTTGATTTACCGAAATAATCTTAAATACATTTTGTGTGAATTTGACTTGTTCTCATTTTCCTCTATGTTCTGTTCGCTAAATTCTTGGCGGGAAAACACGTCGATCTGACGCCGGACTTGACAATTGTACAATATTGTGGGCTTTTGAGGTTTCTTGATCTAGTTACTCTTTTCAAGTTGAGGACCCTTTGCATAAGAAATAATAAAAATAAAAAATGTTGAGGACCCTTTTACTTGGTTTAATTACCCATGCAACTTAACTAATTGTAACCCTTAATTTCTTTTACTAATTTACAATTGTACGTGAACCTCTTAAATATGAGCATGTTCTCTTATAAGAATTAAATCTGATATATGCATCCATCATTTTGTGCTGGACTGCTGGGTCAATAATTCAATATATATTATTCAATGTACGTAGATGAATATATACCTAAAGTCTTTATCTGTTGAACTTAAATTATCAAAGGTCCATAGGTCTTTTCCAATTCAAGTTTGGCATGAGTAAAAGATCATCAAGTGGAGAGGACACACAATTAATCTTAAATTTCAATTTCGACTATGGAAAACCAACAAAGATGAAAATGCAAGAGAATGGAGGAATGAAATGGAGTGAGGGATGTCTTATAATCATTTATATGTGATTAAAATGCCGGACATGGCAAGAGGAAAATCACTAAAGGAATAAGATTTAATTTTTGGTTAATTAGGAAAATATTTTAATGGATTAGGTTATTTCAGGGAAAAAAAAAACTCCACATTCCTTACAACAAAACCAATACAATAAGTTGAGGTTCCATTAAAATGGAAGCTCTTACTCATTTATTAATTGCATTAGTTTTAACTATAAAAATATAATAACTTGTACTCTTAGATTAACTTTAGTGCTGCTCTATTTTGATGCACACCAAATCTTCAAAATTGTTGTTTCTTTACAATACATGTTATCTCCAATTCATAATACTACTCCTTCCGTCCCAAAACTATTGTCTAGTTTGGGTTTTCAGTTTTAGTTTAATTTGTATTACAAGTGAAAATTAAAATTAGACAATAATTTCAGGACGAAAAGAGTATTTTTTACATCATAAGAATATTTCTGTACATTTTTTTAACTATCAGTTTTTACTAAATTATCAATTTACAAAACAATATAACTTAATTCTTCATTAAAGTGTAAAAATTATTTGTTTTCCTAATATCAACTTTCTCATTGAAGTTCCAACATTTGAATCTTTCAAAAGCCTTTTTTCAGAAATCAAACGAACCCTTTTTGAGAAAAAACTTGTCCTCGAGATAAAAAAGAAATGTGGCTAGTAGAAGTCTGCCACGATTAAAAGGAAATGTGGCTAACTCTTGCCGTGGCATCAGATGTGGCCTCTTCCAAGAAGAAAAATTGTTGCTTATCCGTTCTTCATAGTGAAGAACACCTCTGAGGAGCAAGGAACCCTTACGGTTGAGAAAGGGTCGATGCCACAACCTTGGAAAATCACGTGCCAAGAAAGTTTTGAGAGGGAATACCAAAACATGAGGAAAAGGAACATCACCAAATGTGGTGTCTTCAAAATTAAAAGGGAATTCCTACCTTTGTGAAGCATCCTTTTGCGTATTATGCAAGCTGACAACATGTCTCTCTGTAGCATTATCTTGCAATACCAAGGTGTTGGAAAATGAGTTTGACTGGGTGACATTCTGCATATTCAGAAAGAACTGCTCAACATCGTTTTTATGTGCAAGTTTCACATCTTTTATCAGTATGTCACCAACACAATGGTTGAATTCATCTATTTCTGAAGTTTCACATACATCCGGGTAGATATCAAATATGGGTGGAGTGCTCCAATCAACATGGTTATCCTCCCAGGGATCATTATCCGAAGCATGAGAGAATATTCTGTCCCTCCACGACCATCTATCTTCGTAAGCCGTATGCAAAAACAAATTAGGACGTCGTTATTGGAGGAAGAATCATCAACGGCGAAGCTGAAGTCCTCAATGACATCAACAACGGTGTCCTCCTCGATAGTAACAATGGAATTGATGAAGAAATCGACAGTCGCCCCAACATGTGCTGGATCGCATTGCCATGTCTGGTAATCAAAATCACCAACTGGACAAACCTTCCGTGTCGCAAGATTAGGAATCCATCGACTTTCGGAACGGCAACCCACCTTCATGAGTGGTTGAGTTGTTTCAACCCGTAGCCTACGACGGTGTTGCACCCCAATGCAGCTTCGTGAAACTTCAAATGTGTGAGAATCCACGGAAGTCGTGTTGACAACGATAGCTTCAGAAATCAGAATGATAATGAGATGATGCGGCGCTGTGCTTCCTATGATGATACAACTCCTTGAAACCACACTCCATGGAGCAATTCTGCGGCAGCTGTGCACGGGTGCCACAACTTCCCCTGTCGGAGATTTTGAAGTCAGGAATAGAAAATATGCTGAAAATGTGGTGGCAAGAATTCATCCCGAAACTCCCTCTTCATTTCCAACCAAGAGCGGGTTTTCTTCTTGCCGAGACGATTGCGGTCCAACTTGAGCTGTGTCCACCAAGCTGAAGTGCGATCACGGAACCTATTCGCGACCAGCTTGACTCGGTTTTCATCGGGAATGCGATTAAAATCTAAAAATTTTTCCACCTGCATCAACCATTTAATAAACTCTTCTGGTATTCCATTCCCATGAAATTTCGGGATCTTCGTAGGCATGTTTGTTTTCTCAGGTCGAGTATCGACTTCCGTCTTAACCTTCCGATAATGTCGTTGCGGGTTCTCAAGGGCATAATCTCTGCGACAGTGGTGCGAATTCGACCTCGGCTTGTTGAATGGCTTCCTTGTCCCGCTATGTGGTTGTGTAATATTGGTGGGCAATTGATCAATTCTCTCCAACAAGCCATCAGTTCTATGTTTCTTGCGTCTTGGAGGCATTAGTAGATTAAATCAAGAAAAAGGAAAACCAAATTCTCGAACAATTTTTGCTGCTACAAAATCAACTCCAAATCTGTCCCAAACGAAATTACTAGATAGCGTCCACTCCATTAATGAAACCAATTAGCAATGCAGCTGACAATTAACGCCAATCATCCACAAACCGTGTAATATCGTCGATCAATTAATTAAAGTATTCAACCAACAATCAATTCTGAACAACCTACCCTCAATTCCCAGAGCAAAGATATGCAACAGATTTACCTTTGAATCCACAAATTTTCAAGAACTTCTTCCTTAAAACTTGGATACGCATATAAGAAAAGGCAAAAATCAATTATGAATAAAGAGCCCCCAACAATTGATATAGATCAATGAACACACTGACCAAATCAACACAAGTGCCCTCAACTATTTCGTTAACTGAACCAAAGTAACAAATGAACAAATTAAATCCAAAGCTGTCGTACACACTGATATATCCCTAAGCAGCCACCAATCAACTAGATCAATCAGAGAAACAAAACCAAATTGGTAACTAATCAATGTTTTCGATAGATCCACAAAGGAAGGCACTACCGTAGGATCGTTAGGCTCTAAATACCAACTGATGCAGCCGGCGGACGGCTATATCTCGAACCCTAACAAGTAACTCATAATAAATCTGTTGATTCTAGGAATATCCGGAAATACGACATTCATAAATCTCGTTGATTCTGAGAATACCCGGAATTAGGGACCAAAGTTCAACATCTTGGGATTTATGAGATGAACTCTCAACTTTTATAAAATCAACAACTGTTTTATAATGAAGCGGCTGAAACCTTTAAATAGGAAAACAATAAAAAAAAAACCAAATTGCATAATTTAAAATTACTAAATTATCCCTAAACAATACGAAATAAATCTTAATCTATTATTAATCCGGACCCTCCATCAACTTATAAATTTTTGTAATTTAATTAGGCAAGGGTCTCATTCCTAGCCTAATTGAATTACAAAAATTTAAACCGAATAAATAACATAATGTGTTTAGGGTTTAGGGTTTAATCATTTCAATTAGGTTAGAGTCCAGTGTTTAGGATTTAAGGTTTAAGCATTTCAATTAGGTTAGGGCCTAGTATTTAGGGTTTAGGGTTTAGGGTTTAAGATTTCAGTTAGGTTAAGGTCTAGTGTTTTGGGTTTAAGGTTTAAAATATCTTAATGAAGGCACATTACTTTATATATGAAGGCATGTAAAAATGTATACGAAGGTATACCAGAATGTATACAAAGACATACGATAATGCATATAAACATAGGTAAGACACATGAAAATGTATATGGAGATATCAAAATATATAAAAATAGGCAAGAATGTATATGAATGTATACGAAAATGTTTATGAAGACATATGAATTGGTTTATGAAGGTATACTATTATGCATATGGAAGAATGTGAATATGTTTACGTTTATGTTCATATGATTTTAGTTTTGATTGTAATGATAAATTTAAATTTAATTTAAAATAATTTTATCAAATTTATGAGTCGTTAACTTAATTTAATTATTTAAAATTTGACATAAATTAAAATAAAAAATAAAAAATAAAAATGGATGCTGAATTTTTTAATTGTAAAGGATTAAACAAAAAGAAATGAAATGACAATTTAACTTTTCATATACGTAACAGTTAAACAACATATACATTGTTTTTATACATGAATTCTAATAAAAATTTTAACTTCAAAAATATTAACAATGGGTCTTAATAGAAAGATCTCGTTGCATAGATTAATTTGATATATGGTACGTTTTTTAATTATTTATATATTGAATGATATGAATATTTGAAAAAAAAAAGGAGAAAACTGAAAAAAAAAATAAAAGAAAGAGAAAAGTGCGGTCGAGAAGAGAGTGAGGGAGAGACGGTAAGAGAGAGAAAATTGGGGGCTTCATGTGTGCAACACACGTGCGTGCAACATACGTGCGTACGGTATTTATGTTCTTTCTCTTTTGTGGTGCCATAATGGGCTATCAAGCCCAACTTCTATTTACAAGTAGGGGCAGGGTCTGGCTTGCTCCTTTAGTAGCATCAACAAACACGATGCTGGCTTGCTCCTCTTATGGCGGAGGCTCCGGAAACGGAGGTGGAAATAGAGGCAGAAACAATGGAGGTTGTAACAACGGAAAAAACAACAACAACAACAATAACCATCGGGGCAGAAAACCAGGACAGTTAAAAGGATCAAGGAAGGACTGTATGCGGGGAAAAGGAGGACCTGAAAATGCCTCTTGCACGTATAAGGGAGTCCAACAAAGAACGTGGGGCAAAGGGTTTGCCAAAATTTGGGAACCCAACCACAGTTCCCGACTATAGTTAGGTACATTTGACACATCTCACGAGGTAGCGATTGCGTACGACGCTGCCGCACGGAGGTTGTACGATGATGAAGCTAGTGGCAACAACAAAACGAGGATCACCACCACCAGCATCAAAACCACCGATCCATGACCCCAACCATGATGACATTGGCCCAACGATCGCTCCATCTTGAATTACCCTTTTCTAAAATAATTTGTACACGGTTACATTTATAGACGTAATGAAAAGGATTGTGTATTAATTATTCATTAATAAGCAGTCAAAATTAATTAGTACATTCCTAAGGGATATTTTTTTATTTCTCGATTTTCAATAATAATTGCCTATTCTGTATTTATATTTCTAAAAGTATCCACACTACAATTATGATTATCTTAGTTATTTAGTTGACACTTGTTGATCAATTGCATGATTAAAAATAAGGATAATTATATGATTATTTGTTAGTAGTTAGTACTAGATGATGCACGTGTTTTGCACGGGGACTAAATTTCTACTTTATCATTTCCCACTATACCATCTTAATTCTATTCTACGATGTCCCCGATGGGATTCGAACTTGGGTTGTTTCTCATATACTATCAGCCTTAATTATGCTTTCAATAAATGTTACGTTATAAAAAAAAAAATGTCTACAAAAGTACATCAAGTACATATGATGTAGATTTTAGGAATTGTTAACGAGGAATAGAGCACTGTTAAAAAAATGCAGTATAGTACATCAGTAACTAAGTAGTTTTCATAGGAATTGCACGACTTTATTAAACCAGCAAATGTGAAACAAGAAAAATGAAATACATTTCGAAATTGGATTAAGCATAATATATAACTTTTTATAATCTACTTTTGTGGTTTTGTCACTCACATTACAATCTTGATCACAAATTTGTATTTTGTAAAAGACTTCATTCAGCTAAAAAAACCAATACTAATGGACCTGCCAAAAATCGGGTTTAATAGAACGTCAAATATAAAGCATTTCACATTTGCTTGTGGCTGAAAATAACATAAAACTTGAGTTGAAACTTAAAATAGAGTTATTATAATTTCTTGGTGACGACTATGTTCAATGATGCATGTAGCTACAACTCTTAGCAATATTTTAACATTTGTAGATTTATTTATGAGCAATCAGACATTCTACTCTTTATCACAAAAAGTAGTCCACTTTGTAATCATAAAACAATGCAATAAATTACTATTTTTCTTAAACGAAGGGAGACTTTCTTTTTGTTTTTGTCAATATCATGTATTAAAATATTGACAAATTCGTTTGTACGTAAATCTAACAAATTACCCCCAATTATTATCTTTTTTTGTTTTGTTTTTTGTGAGTCATTCTAAATTACAAGTAAAAAGAAAATAAACAAAGTAAATGCAAGTAAAAAGCACTCCACCCATCAATGTGACTATAATTCATGAAATCGATTACATAGTCACTGTTATATTAAAGGTAGACATCCTATGGTATGAAAACAAAGTGGACTACTTTTTGTAAATGAATTTGGGTAAAATTAATAGAGAAATTGGAGTGTAAATTGATTTAGGATTCTTGAAGAGAGAGAGAGAGAGAGAGAGAGAGAGATGAGAAAAATGAACTGTATATTCCAATTGTCATAATCTCGACACAAACAAATCCATATATATGGAGTTGACTCAGTAATTAATAAAAAAAAAAATTAAATATTGCTGTTTTAAATTACAATCGAAAAATATAATACAAAACCTGTAAAAGTTTAGATAAATTAAGTGGAACTTTCACTTTCGGGATAAATTCAATAAGAGCTCATCGCATTCAAGCTCTTCTCTATCCTCGGTCTACATAATAATTATTAATTATCCTCTTAAACAAAAAGAAAACAAAAAGGAAAATTAAAATTGCTACACATAAACAACCAACTTTTATATGCCAAAAAACAAAAACTCCATGCATGATTTTAGTGCAGAAAAGAAGACTTTTTTTTTTGGTATATTACCCATCCAATGTCCAAAATCATTATTTCAACTTGACTCTTTATTTTCAAAACCAGAAGATACTCCAATATGTGGTGTTCTGGTCA